TAAAGGTAAGCAACTTGAATTAATTTAAAAAACAGCAATAAAAAAACCGAAAGCTTTTGCATTTAGCAAGAACAGAAAATGGGTGAAAAGAGAATTGACTTTGGCGTTTTAGACTTTGATACGTATGAGGACTATCTAGAATCATATACGACCAAGCAGGACAAACAATATTTGCGAAGCCATGATATGATCGCAAGATATCTGAAACTGGGCTACCGCGCCACGAGCGCCCCATATGATGCGGCCGAGTTTAAAAGGCGTCAGTTTCTGGCCATGCATGCGATACGGCCTAAAACCTCGAATGATCAATGCTTCAGTAGGTTTTTGTCGCCAAATAACACGGATCCCGTGCTGTTGCAGTTCAAGGAACGTGAATTTCCCATATACTCCAAGATCTTAGCGGTAAGTGGAAAATAGTTCAAGAATTATGCGATAATTCAAACTTTCCGTCGACAGACAATCGTCTTCACAATGTACACGGATAAGAAGGGATCCGAAATTTCAGCCTATATCGATTTGGGCATGAGCTGGGCGAACACGACGCGTCAAGCGTACAATCATGCCAACTGGAAGGGCATCTACGAGGGTCGAGCCCATCTGCGGCCAATGCCGCATCATCTCAGCTATCGTAATGCCCAATACAATGTATTCTACTATACGGACAGCGAGAACTTTAAGGTGGTGCACGACGATCGCTACGGCCTAATGTTTATGCACAAGGGCGATCACAAGTATCTGCCAGTTGGAGGTCACGATAATCCCTTCAATCGCAACGTGCATCGCTCCACAGTGATCTCGCCCAAGTACGGCTCGGTCATATTCTACGATCATACGCTGCGCAAGAAGGTCTAGAATTATCTTGCAAATCCTGATTGACAAAATTAAGTGCAATGTATCAGAAATCGTATAGTATGAGTAAAGAGTAAAACAATTCGCTGGCTTTCACCCAAAAAAAAAAAAAAAAAAAAAAAGTCAGCATTTCTCCCTCATTTCTTTTTGTTTAGAATACGTTTAGCACAACAAACAACAGAGGGCGCTCTCTCTCTCTCTCTCTCTCTTTCTCTCTGTTTCTCTGTGCAGATTCTCATTTGGGCTTTCTATGCTTGCATATCTTTATACTCATTCACGAGGTTAAAAGAGTATTTTGGTTTTGTGAAATTTACAGCCAACTGTCCATTCGTTATTCCGTCCGTCCTTCAGTCTATCAGTCGATCGGATCTTGTAATGCAGCTGAAGTTGGAGTTAGGAGTGCAAAGTTTTTCCTTCCACGTTTACCAATATAGATTCAACTGTTTCTGATGAGTATTATGCAGTCGGGAGCATTCGAGCGCAGCATGCTTACATGTTTATTATTAGCATAGTTCACTTCACATATATATAAATATATGTATTTCGACATATATATGGGCGACATAGCTCATTGTATTGCGGGCCTTCGTACATTTTAGTTGCAAATTTTTACATCATCAGTAAAATGCAGTAGAATGCATAAATATCAATAAAAAATTGAGAAAATCAAATGCTTATCAAATATTACGCCCCCTTCTGCTGGTTGCTGCTGCATTGGGCCGCAGCCAGGGAGAAGTTTAATGTGGGTAAGTTCAAAAAATAAAATATTCGAAAAAAATAAAGGCCAAAAACTGGGTCACATTCATTGCGAGAATTTTTGTGCGCTGTTCAGGCATCATTTTCACATCGGACAAGGATGAGGCGGAAATTGCATTTCGCACGGCTGTGGAACGTGCAAATATTTTGGAACGAAATATAGAACTTGTCCCCGTTGTGCTCTATGCCAATACTGAGGACAGTTTTATAATGGAGAAAACGGGTAAGTCTCTATTGGATAAAGCAATATATATGTATAAATATATATTTTGTATATATATTTTTATTTCACTTGCAGTTTGTGAACTGATTTCGCAGGGCTGCATTGCTATTTTTGGACCCAGTACGGGCAGCAGCTCAGGTAAGTTTCTCATTCAGAATTTTATTCGAGTTCAATTCATTCATCTTGTGCATCTAGACATAGTTGCCTCCATATGCCATACGCTGGATATACCCCATTTTGTTTACGATTGGCTGCCGGATAATCGACAATACGAGCACACATCGATGACCCTCAATATGCATCCGGATAATCTGCTGCTGGCACGTGGATTTGCCGAAATCGTGCAAAGTTTCGGCTGGCGCAGCTTTACAATTGTCTATGAATCGGAGAGAGGTAGGTTTAAGTAGTGGAAATATCAAGTGTGAGAGATATAGTTAGAAATTGGAATGTTTACATTGAGATTAGAATGCTTACATTCGATTTTTAATACGCAAGATTATATATCATATTATAATCATGAAATAATCAGAGAATAATCAAGTGGAAAAGTCGTAGGCAAAGAAAGCGAAATGCAAATTGATTTCACTTGGTTATGTGGAATAAGAGTTAAAATAGTTTTGTATTTTTGGCTTGATTTAGTATATTCGATTTTTATACCCTGAACYCATTGAAAATGGGAAATCAGGATATAATGGTTTTGTTAAATGTAACAGGCAGAAGGAGGCGTGGCAGACCCCATACGATATAGCCCTGTACATCCGTCCGTCTGTCTGTCCGTATGCTTGAACGCGTCGATCTCAGAAGATATTAGAGCTACAGTGCTTTTTTTTGTGTAAGCCGTAAGGAAGCTATGTAATTATTATGGAAATATCAGTTGCTTGACGGGTTCAGGGGATCTCGTAGTCSAGCAGTCTCGACTAGAGCTTTCTTACTTGTTTTTATAGGGTTTACTTACGCTAATATAACTACATTATTGGGAGCCATTTAATCCTAATTGAGTAATTGAGAAAACGTTTCAATCCATTAATCCTATATTATTATATATCATTCCCGCAGAGCTTCAACAACTGCAGGATATACTGCAAATAGGTGATCCGAGCAGCAATCCGACAACAGTCAGACAACTGAGTCCAGACGACGATCATAGACCCTTCTTAAAGGAAATTAAGCTATCCACGGATAATTGTCTCATTCTACACTGTTCACCGGAGAATGTCTTAAAAGTTCTAGAACAAGCTCACGAGCTGAAAATGTTAGGTGAATATCAGGTGAGAAAGTGCAGAGGTAAAACAGAGTTCAGAGAAATATTATATCTTTACTAATTATATTGTTTCTACCAATATCAGAGTGTTTTCATACCCCTCTTGGATACACACACCCTGGAGCTGGGTGACATTATGAATGTGGAGGCGAATATAACAACAGTTCGCTTGATGGATCCCACGGACTATCACATTAGGAACATTGTGCACGACTGGGAGGAGCATGAGAAGCGCGAAGAGCGATACTATAAAGTGCTGCCCACGCAGGTGAAGACGCAAATGATACTGCTGAACGATGCTGTGTGGCTCTTCTCCAAGGGCCTCACAGAGCTCAAAATTTTGGACGAACTCTCGGCGCCCGAAATCGAATGTAAACGCAAGAAGCCCTGGCAACATGGTCGACGTATCATAGAGTTCATGAAGGCGGTAAGAAAATTATATATCGAAACTACATCTAGTCTATATATATATATAT